GGCGTAGTTTTCGATAGAAATATGACTTTTTCGGCACATGTGGACGACGTTGTGAGACGATGCACCGGCTTACTAAGCGGACTTAGCCACAGTAGGCACGCACTTCCACCGGATACGCTCGCTACCATTGTACAGGCACTCGTCGTCTCATCGGTGCGCTACTGTATTAGTGTATATGGTGTGTGCGGCACCACACAAATGGCGAGACTGCAGAAACTGCTCAACTTCGGCGCACGCGTTATTTCAGGCCGCCGCAAATACGACCACATCAGTGACGTGTTGAGAACGCTGAAGTGGCTGTCAGCAAAAAATATGCACCTCTACCACTCTCTGACCATGTTAAAACAGATTTTGTCAGCTTGCCAGCCTGAAACCCTGTACAGTAGCCTCGTGACCCGGGGTAGCATTCACCGCCGTGTGACCAGACAGGCTGACATGCTGGAGAGACCTGTAATACGGACGGAATCGGGACGCCGACGATTTCTGTTTTCTGCCGTCACGGGCTACAATGAATTGCCGCCGAGTTTCCACAACATGGGAACGCGAGAGTTCAGGCTAAAACTCCGCAAACATCTTCTGGCAAAACAACAAAACGAGTAGCGCGATGAGTACAAATGTGATGTGAGCTGAGTGTGTGTGCGTGAGTGTGTGTGTTAGTTGTGCAACTGAATCCCGATGTTCCGTTTTTATGACATGTCAATCATAATAGCCATGTGTTCATGGACCGATTGCACGATGTGAATACATACATACATACGTATTTAAGATAACACCACAGATACATTTCGGTAGGTATTAGTCACGACTTAAATTTCATATGCAGGAAACTCGGCATCGTTTACACCGAGTGATTTCATTTCCTCCCACGACGAACCGTTTCCCACTTCCACTCCTAATTTCCGTTTGCTTAGTCACTCCGTGAGGCGGCTACGCTAGGACCTAATGTGCCGACTGTGTGGTTATTGACTGACTTGTTTTCCCGCCGCCGCCCGCTGCAAGGATCAAAGTGCAAGGTAAACCAGACCATTAATTATACCTCGCATCCCGAATGCCGGCTTCGATAGTGCCAACTTCTCTCGCTGCTCGCCAATAGCTATGGATAGCTTCTGTCATGTTACTTGGGTGCCAGTATAATTGGTCTGCTGTCATTCTTCTCGTGCTACCTTTATATTCCTTCCCAAGCTTGGCTTTATCATTATATGTACTTGGGCCAAGCCTTCTCGCTTATCCTCCCCGTCCCGATCGTTTTTCTTTTGTCTCGTCTGCTTGCCAGAGCCCAATGCGTCCGAGCTGTAGGGAGGCATGTGCCCACTGTCTGCTTATGATGACCACTGTCCGTGCTGATGATGACCACTGCCTGTGCACGTGATGGCCGTGCACAGTGCACATTGCACACTGCTCTGCATGACACAAGGCCGTGAGGTCGGACAACGGCCTGCTCTCTCCACGCGCCGGCTTTCTCTCGACCCGCCCTGCTGCTCTGGCCTCCCGCTCTACCAGAGGCCCACTCTGCTCCCTCCGCTCTGCGCCCTCCACTTTGCCTCTGACACCGTCCTGCACTCTATCCCTCACCGTCCTCGCCCTCTGCAGCCGCCCCCGCTCCGTCCCTCCCAGCCTCTGCTTGGCCGGAGGCCCGTCCGCACGCTTCTCTCTGTCGGGCTCTCTCTCTCTCTCTCTCTCTCTCTCTCTCTCTCTCTCTCTCTCTCTCTCTCTCTCTCTCTCTCTCTCTCTCTCTCTCTCTCTGCTGCTCTATGATGTGCCTGTGCTCTCTCGCCTGTCCGCAATATTTGGCTACGAGACTACCTTCTATGTCATCCGTTGGCACACGCGGTCTAAGACTACCTCCCACTCGTTTGCAGGCTGTGCCATCCTACCTGACCAAGCGATTGGTCCTTGAACCTGTCCCACCTCAGACGAGAGTCCTAGACCACAATGGCAATGCTACCGCCCACTCCTCGGCTACCTGTCGCGAGGCCGGTGCACGGCCGCGGTGACCTTGACATTCGTGATTCGAACTGGCCGTCGGGCCGCGCCGAGAATGACTGAGCTACCGCACCCTGAGCTGCTGTCCAACGGCTGTCTGTCTGTCTGTCTGTCTCTGTGTCTGTGTGTCTGTCATGACCTTTCTGTTGCTCTCTGAGGTGGGCGTGAGTGGAGGCATGTCGGTTGGGACGACATTCGAATCGAGCACGATATGCGACACATTTACAGATGAGGCTGGGCAGTGGGCACATTGTCATACAAACATGAACGAGGAATGGCATTGGGTTCGAAAAGTATACGATAAAAAATAAAGAAGTGCTGGCTTCGATTTTTTATAGTTTAGTTACGCATAAACCTTCCGTGAACGCCTATTGCGTAATTTTGCATAGTGTTGGTCAAAGGTCGTGTGTATTTGCTGACGAGACAAATGTTTGTGGTCACGAACCCTGTTAACCTGTGAAGAAGCATTGCTTGCAATTTTAAGCATGTCATATCCGTTTGTCAACATACAAGCGACCAGATTAAAATATAAATAGCATGAATATTTGATTGCTGATCATATTGGACGACCGTTCATCGATTTGTCGTAGATTGCATTAGTTTTGGCATAGATAACATGATTCATGTTATCCATGGTTTTGACTTTTGTCCCTCATTTCCATGACATATCCGTGCGACACAATCTGTTCTGTAAAATTAGTGTTTACAGCATCACATAGTTCTACTAAAAAATAACTGTCGCCTGTCGTGTGACTATGAGACACGTATAGGACGTTTTTCTCGCAAGAAGAGCAAGTGACCGTTGGAATGTTAAGGATGCATTGGAACTCTAGGAATGCCTGGAATGCATTGAAACACGTAAACGAAGTACGAACCGAATCCCCCGAGCCGGATCAAATCGATCGCCAGTTCTGGGTACAGATCGATAACTCAGCCGATCCCGGCATAAATACAGTTTTCTCTGTCACAAGAGCGCGGGTGCATTATGTGATGTAGAATCCGGATCTCAGCTGACGTTAGTGGTGACGTTCATTACCGGATCTGAATTACGGCTGTACTCTCCGAACAATTATCTTGTAGACCTGCTTAGTGATCGTCCTGGCTAGTCTATCTATCATGCCTCCACACCGTATTGCCTATGCTAGACCAGGCTTGGGCTTTACTGGTTTTGCTGGGCTAGACTAAACTAGACTAGACTAGACTTGACTTGACTTGACTTGACTTGACTAGACTAGACTAGACTAGACTAGACTAGAGTAGACTCATGCCCTGCTTCTCGTGGTGCTGTCTCGCTCAACACGTCTTTTATCTGTGCGAACGTCAATTCTCTGGCCGCCCTGCTGATCGTATGGAACCGTTATTGGGAGGTGATAATGATCGACCAGTCGGACATGAGGTGCATTCAAGACAATGGTAAAATTGACAACTCATGAAATGACAGCCCAGTGCAGCCACGTAACGGTTCTTCGTTTGAAAGCTCGGCGGCTTATGAGCGCTACGTGAGCATTGATCAGAATTGGATCTCTTTCTCACGAAGAAAGATGGAAGAGTGTGCCAAAAGAAAAGAGTTACCGCAGAGTTCCGCGCCTCATTTGTCCATTTCTCAGCCCATTGCATTAGCAATGATAGTATCCATCTACACATATGTGCCCTGCCAAGACACAATATTATAGAACACTGATACCTATTTGGAAACAGTGTTATTCAGGAAAGATCTTTTCTGTTATCATGGGCTTATTCATGGCACAACTTCTGGTACATCACGTTTACTACACGTCGGTTTTGGCGTCTCGCTCTCACGACGTCGCCCTACTCCCGTCATGCGGCACCACCTTCTCCACCCGTGTCAGCTTCATCACACGGATCTCACTCGTACCGCCCTCGGTAATGTATGCTAATCAAATGCCAAACTCTCAGACCGGGAGCCGCCCCACCGCGGGGGGCCGGGCGGGCCGCTCCGGATTCTCACCCCGGGCCAGCCCGCTCCCGGGGTGACCAATCTGACCGGCCATGTTCGCTGACCGCTCTACTGACCAGTGGTCACGGTCAGCCTCGCCGGTCAGAGTCCCGTGCTGTGACGGTGCCGTGGTCTGGATACGTAGAAACGCGGCCAAGTTTCCGACGTCGCGGTCTGTCGGTTTGTGGCGTTCGGCATCACTCGTCAGAGGCATTGTGAAGCTCCGACTCCATTCAAGCTTTTAGTTTGATCGAGGTCTGCACTCACATCCTGACAGTGTGTCCCACGATTCTGTCGTGAATCGTGAGTCGGTGCGGTCACCGTGAATTGTCGGGTGATTCCGACTCCACCCAAGCGGTACGACGGCTGTGACAGGCGCGGGAAGCCCAGCTCGTGGGCCGTCTGTGCATAGAGCATGCGTTCACTGATGCGCAACCGAGCGGTACTTCTTTAGCTTGGCGCGCCTAACAAGCGGCGACGGCCGGACATAGCGGAGCAGGGTGGGACGGGACACGACATTGGAACGGAAAAGGACGGAGAACGGGACACGGGACAAAGCACAGACAGCCAGTCAGAGGTCAGGGCATGCACGAACCTAATGTTTGAACTCAGATGTGCCTTGCTTCGCGATGTGGCGGCTTAGAATGTATGTCGGATATGATCCGTTAAATTGAGCTCTTGGAAAAAAACTGTGGGACAACTGGAGGCTTTCATACTTTCGTGGTGTCTGTTCTACGTTTTAGACTGCTCGCTTGAGTCTCTTTGTGGCGTTCGTTTCGTTGTATTCGGTGTTGTGTTTTCGGCTCATTCTCGGCCTTATGCCTTGGTTTATTAGTCATCATGGACGAAGCACATGTTATGATGGTGTTCATATTAATAACTGGCCGATAATTAGATAATTAGGCTCTATCCCGGTGGCCAAAAGCGCCACCTGAGCGGCAACAGATGGCGATTCGGTGCGGTTTCCGTGGGAGATAATAAGCAGTTGGGTGGACTCCCTTCTTGACCAACCCACGTCGAATGATCAGCACTAACATCGAGTTGTCTCTCCGTGTTCCAGACGCTACCCACATCGTGGACTGTCACCTGAAGCTGATCCTAGGTCTGATATGGACGCTGATCCTGCACTACAGCATCTCCATGCCCATGTGGGAAGGAGACGAGAACGTGCCCGGAGAGAAGGGACCCACGCCCAAACAGAGGTGAGAGACGGGTCGGACGATCGGGCTGCGATGGGAAATGAGCTGTAAAGGAAACTGTAAAATGCTTGCTTTACAGTGATATATTGTGCTCTCGCTTTCCAATTAAATAAAAATCACTTTATGTGATATTCAGATCGTTGCCGTTTTCTGTCATTAAACCAGCTTTGAAGTATATTTATCAATTTTTTCTCTATTGCACGAAAACGTAAAATTATGATTGACCAACACGTTTAATATCATTTGAACGATTCACCTTGGAAGAATGAATTTAGTCGACCCTCAGACTGTGTGTGTGTGCCGACTAATACCGGAGAATCTGTTTCCAATCACGTCTGGATCTGAAGCGGCACAATCGGCCTATCCCCGACATCTGTTTATTTGAGTTCGCTCAGAGTCGGCACTGTCGGCATTATGCAATGCGCGGCGTCGGTGGCTGGACCCTTGGCTATCAGAATTGTGTTGAGCTAGCTGCAGAAAGAACGCACTGTTGGCGCCGAAAATTATGCGTGCTGTCATAACATCCTCAGTTTAATGGGCGCTTTGCGATTCACTACGTCATTGTTTAGTCAAATGTCGAGTCTGCTTTATTAAGTCCGTTTATATCATCGTCTGTGAGTTGTTTTCCGTCGCCTTCTCTACCGCTCTCTGCTAATTTTGTAGCGTATACCCTCGTCTCTTGTGATCCAACACATTTGACCGTAAGCCACTACTACCACAATAGCGTGTAGTGTGACGTCAGAGACCCTCTGTGACGTCACTCCTGATCTGACCGATGACGTCACTGTGTCAGGCTGATGAACTGGATCGGCTCCAAGATGCCGGACCTGCCGGTACGCAACTTCACCTCGGACTGGCGTGACGGCAAGGCCATCGGAGCCCTGGTGGACGGCGTGGCGCCAGGTCAGTTGGGGGGTCAAGGTCATGTGGCAAGGGTGTCGGGTCAGTCAGGGTCAGGTCATGTGAAGATGTCAGGTCAGTGGGTGTCAAGGTCATGTTAGAAGCGTTCTGTCAGTCGGGATCAGAGTTTTTCAGGAAGAGGTGTTCTTACCTGAAATGGGCGGAACCGTAGGTGAAATAGATCGGTCTGAGTCTGGCTGAATGTTCGTCTATAATCATACTGCTAGGGGCAAGCTGCACCAGTTCCCAGGCCAGCACAGGGCCAGCCCCTGACAAACTGGTCTCGTTGGGAAGGGTGAGGTCACGCTGCCCAGCTGCCGCCCTTCCCTATGTGCTTCCGCCTTCCGTTTAAACTGATGAAGACAAAGAGATCCATTGGGGTAATCAGCTATGTGGAACCATTGTCTAAATTGGGTGATTGTGGCGTGATGGTTATGCCGTTTCTCGTAATGTGCTACGTCTGGGTTATCCGTTACTCTCACTGAGACGAGCATGCGGGACGTTTATGAGAGAAGTTAACTTACTCCAGTAAATAAGTCGCTTTATCCCTAACCACTTTTCGAAAATGCAATCTGCTTGACCTCGGCTAGTCCAAAACTTATTCTTACAAGTCGCTGTAGGTAAATGTCAAGTCGTTCTATGCCCAGTTCCCCAGATCCAATTCCGCTTCGGGTTTTCGTCCGTAGATACGATCCTCTGATTTTATTCTCTGATTGCTACGGGCAGAACAGCGGTCCTGATCGAACGTTGTAGGATGTACGACACAGAGCGATGATACCATCGTCTACCAGCTTTTGGCCGCGGGTCGACGGGTGCGAACAGGCGACGGGACTCGTCTTACGCACTTCTAACGAGTGATTCCGTAACCCTGCTGCCCTGGTTGGACCAATCGATGATCACGCTTTACGAGAGTATCTGTTGATGATCTTAGTTAGGTGCACTGAGTGATTAAAACGTGACGAGAACGCTTAGGACTTTCTGTGGCCCAGAGAGTGCCGAGTGGAAAGATAACTACGTATACCGTCACAGCCACGTCATCTAAGACCATTGCCTGCTATGTAATTATCAATTTGTAAGGGGTTGAACAATTCGTATGAAAATTTCAATAATCCTCATTGATTTGAAGACGCGTTTCAAGGCGTCTTTGAAAGAGGTATAGTTATTCTGACTCAGCTTGTTAGTAGTGTTCTCGCCATAGTATTAGCCCAGGCAACATCAGTCACGACTATTTGGCATCTGGCTTAGGGTGGCACTTAGCAATAGGGTGAATTTTATGTTATCCGATTTTTAGGCGTGCGGGTAGTTTTCTGGTTCCATTCCCGTAAAAAATAATGTGTGCAAAATGATTTTGAAAAATATTGATATTTAGGGGTCGCGAATTGAGGTCAAAGTTGGCAGTTTTGGGGAAAAAATCAACTTTTTGGAAACTACTTTAAACCTATTTGGAATGACATATGTGGTCATTAAGCGTCATATCCGACGGATTTTGACCTTTATTTGTATAACAATTGCTTATCCTATCACTTCCGGTCGATCGTAGCCAGTCCAGGTCAGGCCAAGACAGGTCTGATCTGGGCTGTTTTACCCATGTCAGGCCTGTTTTTGGCCTGCGACCGGTGCCTTCTCACAGTGGAGGTCATATCCTCTTATAAGTGTGAGGAGTGAACGGACTCTCCTGTTCCAAAGGGAGGACGAGCCCCACAGTTCTATCGGTTCTTGAGACATGCTCCTTTTCTGTCAAAGAGAATGTGAAGAAGTTGGAGTCAGCCTATCGCCGGCGGGGGAAAGCAGAGGCGAGAGTGGACATTGAGCTGCACTGGTTTATTGTGCTTTCGGGATGTTCTTCCGTGGGCGCTTCTTCCGACTCTACATAGTGCCAGTGCCAGCAACAGACTTACCCGGCCGTTGCGGCGCGCACACGGAGGGAACGTCTTTGACGATGGCGACCATGAGAGAGAAACGTCGACTCACACTCCCAAGCGTAAGCGGGCGAGCGGACGTCCCCAACAGTGAACTGGCCTCGACCGGGCCAAACTGCCAAACCGTAATGTGTGAAGAACACGTGAACCTGTTATCAACTGCGGCACGGAACTTCTGATACGACTCCGGCTGAACCGCGAGAGAAGGAGCGTCGACCGATTCTAGGTCCTGGTGATGGGGGGGGGGGGGATTACGGTGGCCAAGCTCCTCGCCGTTCCCAAACTCCCCTTCATCCAAGCACAGGAGGCCATGCTCACAGCGCTGGGGGGCTAGGAACTGGAGAAGCGGAACTGCGACCTTTTGCTTCGACGCCACGACGGCGAACAGCATGCTGGTGAACGGTACTTTAGCCCTTATCGAGCAGAAGCTGGATCGTCCCGTCCTCCAGCTGGCCTGCCGGCACCACGTGTAAGAGCTGGTCCTAGAGAAGGCCTTCTCCACCTGCCGTAGATTCTCGAGCGGCCTCTACATCCAGCTGTTTAAGAGGTTCAAAGGCGGGTGGGAGTTCATGCTTCATTGACAGGATCACACCGGTGGCGTTCGCCGTCGACGACGTTCCGGAGTGGGACAAGGTGCTGGTCAGCTTCCATCGCTTCCATCGCTGGACTATGCCTAGCTCCGGGAAGACTACCGAAAACTTCTGGAGCTATGCGTAACTGCTCTCGGTGGAGTTCCAAGCACGGCATCCGTTTCTCCGCCTCAGAGTACTCCACTGAGTTAGGTGGATGGATTAGGTGGATCCTCCATGTCGTTGAAAAGATCACAGAAAACGCTAACCTGACACCCGAAGATCGACTGCAATTGCTAAGTGCTAACCAGGCTACACACAAAGTGATCTGGGTGCCCGTTACCCATAATACCCCTCCCTCCAATGAGGCGCCAATAATCTACTAAAGAGGAGGAACTGGAGTAGTGGAGTACATAGACCAGCGTTCTGGCGTGGCCGAAGCTGCATAGAATATCAATAAACAATATGAAAATGACAAAGAAATGCCTTATTATCATCCGATTATAGCGTAATAGGAAATTCAGAAGCGATTTTAATGATATTGAAATATGCTACCAAAATCTCAATTTTGACCTTGATTCGCGACCTCTAAACATCAATATTTTCCCATAAAAATTTGCCTCCCTTATTTTTTACGGGAATGGAACCGGAAAACCACCCGCACGCATTAAAAATCAAAAATTGATTTTTAAGTGCCACCCTAATCTGGCTGCTATTGCATTGCGGACGGGGCTTAACGCCCGCTTGTGTGTTGACATTGCAGTCTGCTTATCATACAGACGGCCATACGCCACATGTCACTTCCCACCCCGTGCTCCCCACGGCGTGCTCTAAAGGGAACCGACTTCATTAGTCACTGAATCACCCGGGTATGCTCCACGCGGCGTCAGATAAGCCTGCAAAACTGCACCGGTAGGAGCCAGGGTCTGCTACCGAGGGTGGTATAGGCTAATTTGTAGTGATTAAGAAACTATCTGACCGTCTGGGGAGGCTGGGCAGTGACTGACTGCTCTGTGCATGCGATTGCTAAGACGTCGGTCGGTCACCCGCATGAATGGGAAGGGTGCGAAGGATGAGCGAACACTGCATAAGTTAGGTGAGCACTGAGCACTGAGCGGTGAGCACTGAGTTATGAGCACCCCAGCCTCACCCACGAGAGAACTCAGGCAGTTGTGATGCCAGGGCCCGTTACCTCCCTGGGGTAGAGGGCGAGCGTGCCACGGGCTCGTGCCAACCGTGTACCCCTCCCCCTGATCCCCGGTCCGGCGCCGTCTGGTCCGGCCTGTCGTGCTGATGATCGCCAGCTTTGACGGCGGCTACTTAGCGATTCCAGGAGCGGGCACCGCTGCGGTGACGTGTTGGAAACTTTTTACTCGGATAAGAGTTCCGTAATTATACCTCAAGTGCAAGTGAATTATATGTTATGTCTGCACTTTTGATGGAATGTGGCAAATGCTAAATGTCTTTATTTATGGAGTGAATAACTCAATAGTCGAAAATCCTTTACGAATAGGCAATTTGTCCCCATTGATACTTCCAACCGTAGGTATTCATTTGGAACAATCAAAACCTTTGACGTCGGACCGTTTTGTGACAATTTCCGTTCCGCATTGTCCTCTTGCCCACTCCTACCCCGCCTCACACCACTCTCATTAACCCCACTGACGTGCCACTTAGCCCCTATTTCTCTGTCCCGGTAATCGGCCCCTTTTTATACGGAGCCATTGGAGCCATGACGCGGCACAAGTGATCTGTGACTCCTCTCGGGGGCGGTATTTGAACGGAGCTATTTGACCTGGAATGTGGACTATGCGCCGCTGGTGGGGCCACGGACTTCACCGCTAATGCCGGAAGGGCCGTGGTAGACAGAAGTCTGGAGTGTAATGGTTCCGTGTGATTGACTGGACCGCCGGAGGAGGATGGAATGGATGGGCAATTTAAAGAGAGACATGAACAAATGAGTTGTGAATTTCTCGAGTGTTGAAATGTTGATGCGGGCCTGTAATTTGCACGTAGGTGTCGTAGGTATATTGTTATAGGTATGTGGCTATGCTCGTATTAGCTCGTGTCATCAATTGCTGGGTGCACCATTTGCCAGTGTATTTCCTGTAATTTTGCTATAATACTTCCTTTGATAAGATGCGCAGGGTTCCTCAATTCCTACTCATGTGCTGCCCCGGTGTTAAATGCTCATACTGACGGTGGTCTTTCTTCCTTCCATTCAGGTCTGTGCCCTGACTGGTCCGACTGGAAGCCAGAGGACGTCCTCGATATGTCTCCCTGGTGTGTGTTTTCCGTATAACTGACGGGAACCTATCCCTTTTCTCCAGGTCTGTGCCCTGACTGGTCTGACTGGAGGCCAGAGGACGCCCTCAAGAACGCCACGGAGGCTATGGGTCTGGCCGACGACTGGCTCAACGTGCCTCAGGTACGACGGAAAACGCTAACCGATGCGGAGAGCCGCTCTGTGTACACTGAGCGGCTAGTTAGTGGAACGCTACGCCTGTAGTTAGTGGAACGCTACGCCGGCTCACAAACTAGCGGGGAATTCATTCGCGCTATTGCGTTTTGTTCGTCTACATCGCACTTTCTGCCTGATACTGAGCGGAAAAATACCCACCACGGCTTACTACGATTTATGGCTGTGAGTTCCGTTTGTTTGTGCGCATTTCACTAGGGACGACATGGCTTAAAGCTCCTCTGGACAGTCATACAATCGTAATAAAATATCGCCAGGCTAACCATGGCAGCCACACGTTATCAGCCCCTTTCAGACCTAACTCTGCCTCTCGAACTTACACCCATGTCTCCGCCACATTACAGCTGATCCAGCCGGAGGACATGATTGACCCGAACGTGGACGAGCTGTCGATGATGACGTACCTCTCGCAGTACCCCAACGCCAAGCTGAAGGCCGGCGCGCCACTCCGCGCAAAGACAAACCCCAACAGGTGAGACAGAGCTGAGAGACGATGACCATCCAGTGACCTTCCATGACACCCATTTTCTCACTGGAACACCGAGTATTTCTCACCTGACATGCGCTAGTTTGGGAAAGAACTCGCCGCTGTTTAGCTGGTGAAAAGTGGCTGAGTCGCTCGGCTAGAGGTTGTTGACAGGCCGTTAAGGCCGGTTCACACGCGCCCGGCATGGCCGATTAGCTGCTCTGTTTCGCTGGTCATCCGGTGCTAGAAACGGCCGTCCGACATTCCAGGCTGTGTGGAGATGGACGGCATGTCGTTACTGTGTGAACGGAGCTTTATTGGGGATGTACCGACGTAGGACTGGAATCACAGGGAGGACATATTGACAAAGTAATCGTGATATTGACATGCAGCAAATTAGGCAATTTTACTGCGCGGTAAGTATTATTCTTCATACCTTTAATTGACCATTTGGGTGGCTTGTTCGTAGGTATCAATATTTCACATCTTCGTTCTGTAAGGTTCTCAGCCCCTAAGGACTCAGACTAAGGACTCCGTAAAGCCGTTTTCACTTCGGTTTCCGGCCAGCTGTGACCTATGGTCCGTGACCCGTGCCACTGACGGGCTCTATTTAGTCCATTGAGTCTACTGCGCTGAGTGGACAGCGGGCCATTGGCCGCTAAATTTCCGTGTGTGCGTGACCTGACCACTGGAGCGTGACGGTCACGGGACGAGGCCCGCCGCGCCGTGCCGGTCTGCTGGGCCTACTGGGTGGGTGGTGTGGTGCGCTGGTTTTGGGGAGTGGTAAAGAGGAGGTGGCTTAGGTTTTGACTCATTTGGTCAGCTAATTGGTGTCGTGAATTAATTAGGTTTGTGTGTCCTGCAAAATGCTCGTCTATTTCAATGCTATTCGGCCCATTTTGCCGGCGCAAAAAAAAACTTTCATTGCTTACGTTTCATGGGTAAATGGTGTCTGATAGTAGATGGGTTTTGTGAAATATGACAATTATTTCCGTTTTAGGGTCTAGTAATGTCATAGTATTCTTGGACAGTCTGCTATGGAAGTGTAACAAACGATAAAAATCGATCCGATAAATTACTGGCTGCACTCACATGAAATGGACCCAAACTACCTCCATGATTCTGTAAACGAGCCTGTAATTGTTGACCGTACAGCTCTCCCCCGACTGGCCATCTGACATTATGGTGTCGATTTGTTTCAGTCAATCTGCCATCGGTGCCAGGTACAACAGTGTGTTTGTCTGTCTGTGTGTCGTAGACTAAGTCGTTACCCAACTAACGCCCAGGTTCCCTTTGTGTGCGGTGCTCAACTAAACCGTTTGAGAGTTTGAACTAGTTTGGTCCGAGTGAAATGGTGTGAGTTGTATTGACAGAGTCACTAGTTGAATGGTGATTTTATTAACCAACTTATAATTGCAGCGTAGTGAAAATAACATAACACATATTTTCTGTTTTCGTGCTGAGTTTCAGAAAACAGCGTTGAAACGGCATGAATGAATTCTTACTCAACCATATCTCCGTTTTGAGGTCGCATAGCTTCCTTCCGACCATGTCTCTTCCGCCGCCTGCCTTTGATATCTGCGCTGGCCGCTGCGTCTTCCGTTCTGGCAGCGTCGTTTTGGCCGAGCAGTGAGCGCCAAACGCTGGAGCCGCCCGGCCTTGGAGGGTGGTGCTGTGTGGGGTGGGGCTGGGGGTGGGGGGTGTCTGTGGTCGGCCAGCGACACGGAGTACCCCCCCCCCCTCTTCCTACCCCTCCCTCCGCCGTCCAGACCCGTCCGCTCAGCACAGCCACGATGAGCTGACCGCTGGCCGCTGTCCTTGCTTGGCTGTCTGGATTGTAGGCACGTCTGACCCAAGTCGCAAACAACGACGAGCACGGCCGTCTGGATACGTCCAGAGCACGCCTGGAACACCAAACACGGTCCGAGTACGGCCAGAGCACGCCAAAAGCACGACCAAACCTCCCAACCAGACGTGCTGGCTCGTCAGCGCGTCGGAGCGAGACAAACACCTCACGAAGCTGCCAGAGGGCGGCGAGGGCGTGCTGTGAACCAAAGACCTCAGGGGCGAGGGACAGGCGCGGATTCAAGGGGGGGGCCATGGGGGCCATGCCCCCCCCCCCTTGGCCGATTTTTTTTTCAAAAATAAAATAAAAAGTTAAAAAGTTAAAAAGCTGAAAAGGGGGCCTCCTGAAAATAAAGTGGCCGAAATCCGATGAGTTTTTTTTTACCTACCCACTTAGTTATTTCTTAGAAGACTAGCTGAGAAGACTTCTTTGTTAGAAGATTGGTAAAGCTTTTCATAACTTGGAGGTCTCTTATACTCACAGAGATGACCACTTTTACAGGGCCTCCTAACCTGCACAGAGGGCCTCCAAGCCTGCACAGATGTTGAGATGTTGCCTGAACAGCTAGATAAGCTCAATAGACGCAGTTTTTTTTTTGGGGGGGGGCCAACAAGTGGGAAGATGGGGCCTCCAACAGGTGGGATTATGGGGGGGGCCTCCTGGTTTCTAATGGCCCCTCCCTTGGAGATTTTCTGGATCCGCCCCTGGCGAGGGATATGGAGGGGTGGCAGGTGGCCAAAGGTGACGTCCGACCACAAAGGCCTGACTCATAGGCTGTGTTCTGTCGCTTAGCTTCAACTCCTCGCAGAATTTAGCGGGGTTTATAGCCGACGCTAACTTGCGCATTTGTATTTCGCGGGGTGAGACTGGTTAATCCAAACGAGACTCATATCTCATATCATTCAGGCTCGCCCGTCTGGCGGTCGTTGCCAGGCCGGCGTTTGCGCGCCACAATTAATCCAGCCGGCGGATGACGTCATCGGTGTTCGTTCAGACGGATGACGTCATCAGTGTTCGTTCAGATGGTGACGTCATCGCTGGGTGGCGGTTGGTGGCGGTCGGTTCCCGGAGCGGCGGAAGGCCACGGAAAAATTCCAGCCGCCCTGGAGGGGAGGGGATGTGCTGTATCGGCAGGCGACAGGCGGGCGATGGGTCGGCAGGCGGTACTGGCGGCGGGCGATGGGTCGGTAGGCGGTGGGTGGTGGGAGATGCACGGTGGGCGTTGGACGATGGTTCGATGGGTGGTATGCAGGCGGACAATGGATTGGTATTGGTAGTGGGCTGGTGGGCGGTGGGCCTGAGGTTCGTTGTGGTTTTGGTGGGTAGACTTGTGTCCGGTGGGAAACTAGCGGTAGCTCAGTGGACGATGAACGATGGATTGTGGATGATATTGGGCGATGTGCTGCGATGATGAACGATAAACGATGGGCTGTGGGCTGAGCTCGGAAGCTCGATGGCTTGATAAGTTACGATGTGGAGCGATGGCGGTTGTAGATTATCTAAGCATCATCTATATCATTGAGCACCATCGGTGTCTCAACAACTTGCACGTCTGGTGCATCCCTTATCAAAACCGTCGCACCGTTTGAGCAATGAACGCCATCCTTAAAGGGACCCTCCCACCTTCAAAAAAGTTAATGAATTGGCATAAAAGTGATGTAGCGTGAATCACAAAGAGCGAAAATGAACATCTACCAAATTTTACCGGAAAATATTCAACCGTTTTCGAGATATAAGACTTTTATTTTTGTTTACTTTTTGGGAATTCCGCTGTTTCTATGACGTCACATAAAGGTTTTCTTTACGTCGGCATTTGGAAGCAATAATTTGGTATCAAAGTGCGACAAATATTGCGCGAATGATGCGTTTATCTTATCAAGGTCAGTATATGATGGCCAACAAAGGATTCCAGGACAATTCTTCTTATGGCATTTTTTCGTATCGCAATTCTTCGTCTGCAAATTTTCGTCAGGGCATTTATTCGTATCGGATTACTTTGTCTCGCATCAGGGTATCTGAAAATCGGCTCGCATTTCTTCTTCAACGCAAATATATGCAAGAGTAAGCATTGATGGACAAATAAATGCACCGACGAAGATTTGTAGACGAAGAAATGCGGACGAAGAAATGTCATGCGAGGATTCGTTCGGGTACCATGACATTTATGTGATTTCAGTCAAGGTTCACAGCTGATCTGCTAAATCCAGGGCTGTCTCATCCCTATCTCCGTAACGTGTCGTGTGCGACCAATGACGTCACGGCATTGCGGCGTTCTGATTGGGCGGCAGCTCTGAATCGTCCGACTGGTGGTCCCCGCTCGACAAGCGCACGTGCGCCGACTAGTCATTTGTAGTGGCATTGACGGCAGAAAAAGTGAGGTAATGCAGAGCTCTGAATATACTTGAATAGAGTCTAAGCCGTTAGTAATACGTAAAAACGTCAGAAAGGTTTCTTGTTCGTCTTGATTTGAGCTTTTATGTGATATAACTTTTACCTTAGTGTCGAGGTTGGCAGCTATGTGGGAGAGCCCTAAAGTTGGGTCATTTTCCATAGGATTGCATTACAGCCGTCCCACCCTTCGTACCTGTGACGTCACGGAAATCGCTGCTTCGGCCTAATGAGCATACCATCTATATAGGGCCTTGTGCTAAATCAAGCCAAGAATCCAAACTATCAAAAAACTATAAATATTTGTTTGTCTGTCACAGAGGTCTCAAGCAATATAGGTTGACATATGTTGAATCAAAAATCTACTGCCACAACTCACATCTCCTGCCTTAGTTTATCATTGTTGTTTTAACTTGCTTTCAAGAGAAACAGAAGCCAGTATCTGATATCACTTCAGATGATTGTTTCAAGATCTGAGTTCAAATGGAATTAAAAGCAAGATCAAGATGAAACAGGGATTATTGCTGTTAAAGTAGTTTGGCCATGATACAACAGGCACATAAATCATTAGCCAAATCAAATACTGGTTAGTTTGTCAAGATGTTTGTTGTCTGTCGTCTGTCGAGCTGCTATGAACACTGAACGCTCTCACTCTTACTTTAAAGAGAGTAGTTTAAGTTGAATGGTAGTGAGCTGTAATTAGACAAAGCAGCTATTCAGTGCTCACATCAAGCCAGGCTAGGAAATGGCATCAACTGTGGTGGGAGGAAGCAGGTTCGGCAGGCCTATGTTGTAAACTTCTGTTGTGTCTTGTGTTTGATCAACTGATGTTTTCTGCTCTGTTTTGTGCAGTGATAGTAGCAGGTAACTGCATGCTTGTCAAATTATGTGAATAAACAAATTCATAACATTGCATTTTTCTCTCCATGCAAGGAACAAGTAAGATGTTGTAGAAAATGTAATAGAGGGCTGCATTGCTGATTTCATGCACTTTATCAGAGCTTTATTTAGAATTGCTTTCCTGAAAGCTACACACAGGCCACAGCACTGAAATTCACAATGTCATAGCTTTTGGCAGAAAAAAAGAAAAGACTTGCCTAGGTAAAATTGGCTGAAAGTATGGCAGAGCAGGTCTTGATGCGTATGCCCATCCGTGTGCTTGCCGAAGCCGAACTGACTGCAACACATTAACTCTGACCCACCATGGTGGCTGGCATATCCTGAACTTTCACCACTCTAAACAAGACAACTTTCAGCCCTCAGCATTGTATTAAAACACTGTACATGGCAGTTGACACTCAAAATTTGTTTCAGTGCCATCCACGGACAACATCAGTCGCCATTCACCAGGCCAGTAAAAACAGAATAGATAATAGCTTCAAACCCATGTAGTCAGAGTTACTAGGTCTGCACCTCAAAACAAAATCCAGGTGACATTCACCACGCCAGTAAAAAAACAGGTAGGTACTTAGGTAACGTAACAGCTTCAAATCTGGTAACATGTTGGTCGGACTTAACACTACCATATGTACATGGAATAATATGATACCAAACAATAGTGCAACCATTCTGGACAACAAAAGTGTATGATAAAATTAATTTAGAATACCTTGGCAGCATGATTTACGAGCACAGGCAGGTGTTACCTACCAGCCTTCTCAATACTCGTAAAACCAACATTGTAGTTTTGATTTTACCTTACATGATAACACACTTGGCTGCAATGGCACATTTAATTTAACACTGTGAAAAGACCAGTTATAACCACTTCACAAGCACAATTGCACCTCATGCCGACATCCTTTTCCAAAGACAGTCAGCAGCGTCTTTCGTCAAAACTGGAAGATCAATCCCCTTTCAACTGTTAACATCAAAAATATTTCTTCATGGTGTGATCTCCTATGGAAACCTTGCGGGAAAAGAATTAATGTCAATTGTCAGCTCTTCAAATTTCTTTGGACTTAAACTTGCAGTACCATATCCAGTTTGCTTTGATATTTTGTTTTTCATTCCATGTTGAAGTTGAACACCAAGCTCCAGATATAGCAGGCAGCTTGATCATCTTCGGCCTTGGTATAATATCAGTCCAAGTTCCAGTGGTGGGTATCTTCTAATATTCAAATTAAAATGAAAAGCAATAGGCTTTCTCAGCGCCGACGACGGATTTCACGTTGATAAAAAAGGGAGCTCAAGGTCAGCAAAACTCGGGTTCAAGGAATGGCGGGCGTTGAAATGACTGCTGACGTCATCAACAAACCGCTAATGGTTAAGAGATAGGGACTAAGCTGGTCCCACCCAAGATTACTTTACTACTCGGTCCCACCCTGCAAGTAAAGGGAAGAAATTTCTTGAACACCATAAAGCTGCGGGGGTTGCGACCAGGATAAATGGTGGTTTCTGAGCTTGGCCGCAAACTTGGCTATCTCAACTCAAAACTAATGTTAAGGTGGGATGGTCCCTTTAACACGCGCAGTGGAAGGGGGGGCGGATTTCGCCCACCCCTCCTGTTTTTCGCCAATAACTCGCGCCGCAAACATGATATTAATGTGAAATTCTGGCTACCTGTCCAGAATTGAACTGCGGATCTTCTCGTGCAAGAAATAAAAAAATCGGGTCACAACTTTTCTAGTAAGGCGGCGCGGCGGCCGGCGCTAGCCGTTACGCGCCGCCTGAATTGTAGACTGTGCCGGGGCGGGACGGTTCCGTCTTTACATCGCGCTCGCCGCTCCTTACCGCTGATTATATTCGATTGGCGTCAAATTTTGTGAGAAGACTAAGAAATGTACAGGCAATCTTATGGTCAAAGAATTTTGAAAATCGGCCGGTAACAACTTGAGTTATGAGTGTAAACACAAAATTGTGATTGCCGCGTTTCCCGCGCCCGCCGATCCCGCTTCAGCCGGCGACATCTTACGCTTAGCAGGCTTCTAACTGCCATATTTATTGTTGGATTAACAAGAAAGTCACCATACCTACTCGCAAATGTATGTTCTTTCGTATAGTGAAAGAAAAAAGAAAATCGGCCGGTAACTTTTTGAGTTATCGGCGTGTAAACGCAAAAAAGTCGCTAATATGGCAGATTTGACCACTTTTGACCTCATTTGACCTTGAAGATATTGACCTAGGGTCATGAAATTCACACACAACAGAGTTCCCCTGGGCCGCCAACTACCTAGCTTCAGTGGGAGCTGAGATCTTAGGGGGGGGGCGACATCCGCTCCCCCCCCCCCTTCCACTGGGCGTAGTACTCGCAACCCTTTCACTGCGCGTGTTAAAGACGACAAATATTGCGGCGTTGGCCGTTGCAGGACCGAGCGTAGCGGGGTCAGTGGAATGTTGCAGAGGGGTGACGACAGCAACTGTCAGTGACGTCGCCGGAACCGCCGCTGCTGTACCGTGTCCAATGCCCACCATGCCAAAACTGCAGCCTGCAGACTAGAATGGCATAGCATAGGACCGTCTCTGGTGTCGCTTGCCGTAACTGCATGTTCAGAGGACGTTACCGGCTAGAGAAGAGACTGACTTGTCGCAGACGTACTCAGTAACCTCGCAGATCGACATTCGATATGAGCCGGTGTGTTTGGTAAAATCTCTGCAGTTCGAGCGGAGCGAATGTCTAATTCATGTAACCAGCATTTTTGCTGTACTTTGCCGTGTTACTAACCGTCCCTGCTAGACGTTAGGCGCTGGTCTTCAATCCCAGCTATGTCAGAAACTACGTTGGGACTTAATTAAGAAACCCGCGCCTTTTTCTCTAATGCCTGTTACTTTTGATCCATTTGAATTGTGTGTCGATAACTTGATACACCACTGCAACGGCCTTTTTATAAGTGAAGCGTCAAGCGGATACCGCAATGTCTTCTAATTCGTCTTGATGGTGGGGTATAAGTCCGTTATAACATAAATTATGAAGTGTTATGTGTGGTCCGACTTTGATCACTCAGTTAGTGATGATTTCCCAGAACGGTGCCGGGTCAGCGGTCTCTGGTCGCCTGAGGACACAACCGCTAACCATACAGACGACAGAACCGTTACTGGTCATTATAAACATCCTCTACGGTGGACAGGCTAAATGTTCAAAATAACTACCGTCCGCCAGATACATCTTCATATGTCATCAATTTTCAAAATTTCCATCGATAAGTTCATGCCAAAGAACTTGCTCAGCAGCCCACGTTGTCGGCAGTCCCAGTTATCAGCAGTTGTCAGTGGCCCCAGCATGCTCCAAGATTTCTGGCTTGATCTGTTTTCTCAGCCCATGATCCCTTGCTTCCGTGACTCCCGACCCCCGTGACCTGACCCCTGACCCGTGACCTGCCCTCAGGGTACGCTGCTACGGCCCGGGTGTGGAGCCCACGGGCCCGGTGGTCGGAGCACCCACCTTCTTCACCGTGGAAACGTTCTCGGCCGGTCAGGGCAAGGTCGAGTGCTTCCTGATCCGACCCAACGGACAGAAGGAGCCGGTGAGTGGACGGTGGGATGAGAGGAAGAGAGGAAGAGAGAGAGAGAGAGAGAGAGAGAGAGAGAGAGAGAGAGAGAGAGAGAGAGAGAGAGAGAGGGAGGGAGGGAGGGAGGGAGGGAGGGAGGAAGTGGGATAGGAGGAAATAGTGGAAGAAAGAAAGGAGGGTAAGGGAAGGCTTAGTATAGGGAGAATGAATCCTTTGCTACGTTTTTTTTTTAACGATCATGCTGATGACATACATAGACCTGTGGTCAGTGGTCTATGTGACGTATAATTGTTTCGGTGCTGGACTGGAGTGGGTCAGAAATAGGTAGAAGCTCCCTGAATTCACAGCATTCAGTATTTTGGTATGGTCCGCTATTTTAGTTTGTACGAAAGGCGCTCGCGTGACAACAATGAGAGCTCTGGCTTTGCGTGACCTTCGTGTTTTATTCAGATCGTGGATAAATCTGCTACTTATTTCTGGTGCAGTAATTGGGATTCCTTGCCTTACTTTTTCGTCTACCGTGCTTGAATCTGACCGTTTCCGACTCAATAGCTGAATTTGTTATTTCCGTTGAGTGATACTTGGCTTGATCAATCCGAAACCACATCACCGTTACAATGCTTCGACTCTGCAATCTGCATGGAAAATAACACTGAATCTAGTCACTTCGATACCACAAGCCCATCCAACACATCTTTTCTCCTATTTTCGCTTAGCTCCGCGCCTCGAACTTCGTGGAACATTCGTGGGAGTGCCGTGGTTACATTCTGTTCCGAATCCCTCCTGATTCTGTCCTTTTGGTTCCGAATATTACACAACACGCCTCCAAAAGTCGTTGTAATAGTTCCAACTGCTCCGGTCTTGTTTTGTTGGCTTGTTCTTTGCAGTAAACTCTGTGTAAAGCCCGGTTCCCGTGAACGCTCTCCCGTCCCACCCCACCTGCCGAGTGCAGCCCCTCCCCTCCCCCTCCACCGGCCACCAATGCACGTGCTATGCCTGTCGAGTGACGCTGTCTGAGGGGGAGGGGGAGGGTCACGTACCGCGTTTGACGAGTGGGGAGGGGGTGGGGAGGGTGGCGAGCGGTGGCGACATCTGTTGCTAGCGGCAGGAAGTTGATGACGGCCCCAGGGCTAGTTGATGGGAATGGAAAGCCAGAGCCCTGACGTGAGCTCGCTGATGTCCATTAGAGAATAATCTCTTTGATGTCCAGTATGCTGGATGCCACTCGTGAAGACCAGTGTTCCTGGCAACGTTAGCTCGTCTTACTTCTGCCTCAAACGCTTTGAAATAACTGCAGACTCACTGGTTTGGCTGAATGATTATTGGTCCTTAATGAAATGCCATTTTCATTTATTTTGTAGGCTAGGCAACAGCTAAACAACAGCTGCTTAATGTGTAGCTGTCATTCAAACAGTTGACGATTCACGGGTCTTTCCCAACCTTGATACCAATCAAAACTCACATAAATGATAAAACGAATAACGATGCCGCGAACCCATTAGCCTCAGACCGTGATCTGACTCAGCAGATGGCAGTGTTATCGTCGGCTGCAGACTGGCGTCCTCCGCCCTCAGTATACGATCGCCATCTCTGTCACGACCCGCTGTATGTCGGCCGTGGTGGCCGGGTGCCGTCCCAATCGTGATCTGAACGTGCGGTCGCTGATGATAAGATTCTCTCGCTGGCTAGTCGGGGAACTAAAAAGGGCGGCTGCCGGCTACGTAACGTGCAGGAGTAAAGAAAAAGAGAAAATTTGAATTTGCTTTGAGTTTTCAATCTAGTTTAATGTCTACTACTGCCCATTTGGTGGTTTCGTCGTTCTGGCCCTCGCGCCGTGACAGCTGGCGTTCTGAACCGTCACCTGGCGCTTTGAGCTGACCCCGTGGCGGTTTGCTGCAGACCCGTAGAGTGGTGCCGCCACCGCCGGCGGGGGCGTTTTACCCGTCTGTGAGCTGGTGGGGAGGGGTGGATGGGTGGGAAGGGATTTCTGGAGGGGATGGTCTTCAGTAGAGTTAATTATATCATGAGGCTTAGGGCTTAGATGTTTGCTTTGGTAGGTGGTTGCAGCAGACATATTGCAGGGAAGAAAGTGAAAATCTAAAATGGGACGATAACGTGAAACAACGTATCACAAATATTATGATATGCACTTCATACTAGCATATCACGCTCTTCACAGCATCACATGCAACATAACGACGTCAATTACAGTAACTACTGGTAACGAACTGCTTTTGATTTACCTGATATCCCTCTTTGTCCCACAGATCGAGGCTAAGTTCAACAACGACCGTAACCTGACGTACAGCTGCTCCTACACTCCGACCTCGGAGGGCCAGCACCGTGTCATCGTGAAGTTCATCGGCAACGAGATCCCCAAGTCGCCGTTCTCGGTTCAAGTGGAGGGCTACGCCGGTGACCCGAACAAGGTGACCGCCTCCGGGCCCGGCCTGGAGCCGGTCGGCGTCGTCGTCAGCAAGCCCACCTACTTCGACATCTTCACACACGGTGAGGACTTGGGGAAAAGGGGCTCAAGTGCAAGGATAATGTGGTGTTTTTTAGAGGGCGTTGGTCGATGGAAATGTCAAAAACGTAACTATTTAAATAGTCAAATAGTTTTGTCGTAACCTCATGCGAACCAGGGAATCCAGGATGCAAGCTTCCGGCTTTTCGTGGAACTTGGTAGGTATACAACTCACAGTATTATCTGACCTGGCATTGTTTTGCTCTGCTATTTAGTTATACCGGCTTGTTGCATTCCTTTTTACCTGTAACCTAACATGTAGCGGTAAGCAAATGTATTTCTACTTATGAGTCAAGCCATCAGTTTGTCATACTTTCGGATACCAACGGACAGCACAAAAAGCTGGCGGCATCGCATGTGACATCTCTCGTTTGAATCTTGAAACCGGTCCGTGAGCTTTGAGCGCTGCAGCGTTTATCCAGGAAATCTCAGATAGGCTGCCAGTCCAGTTACGCTAAATACGGGGCGCCGCTGCCGTCCCGGTATGCCGACTGGGGCACGCGCCAGACGTCAACACTAGCTCTGTGTCATTCGGAATGCAACGGTGTGCGATTTGCAGCCCTTCGTGCTATAAGCTAAGCGCTTTTGGGGGCCGTGATTTAGCTGTGGTTTTGCTACCGATTGCATAAGCCAGTGAATTCGGTAACGGACCCGGGAAATAACTTATCCGCCGTTTTTGTTTGCGAAGCGTCAAAAAATGCTGCAGAAGTGAATCATCTATCGCTTCCTGGCATCAAGTCTGGAAGCTTGCACGTTTCGGGCGCATCAAAAGCACGGGCGGGCACCATCACCTCAGCCAAGCCTGGAAAGTCGGAAAGGCACACTAGCGATAACTGTCGGTTATGCAGGTATTTCCAGCGTCCGACCGGAGTTTGCTTGTCGAGCTATCCTTGACACCGAGCCTGACGCTGACCTAGCTGTCCGCCTGTGACCACAGACGCCGGAAAGGGCACGCCTGAGGTCGTCATCCTGGACCCCAAGGGCAAACAGAACCCGGCCATGCTGAAGCTGAAGGAGGTGAAGCAGGGTCAGTGGCGCTGCGAGTACCTGGCCGACCAGGTCGGCATGTACTCCATCAACATCTACTTCGCCACCAAGCCCATCCCCAAGAGCCCGTTCGGCGTCAAAGTCAGCCCAGGTGAGGATTGGAGTCGTTATGTGAATCAGACATTATTGTTTATGCTCATAGACTTCCCCAAGACATTAGGAATATATGTAGAGTTACGGAGATAGCTGTCCATGAGAACGTCATTGAAGCATTTCATATTTTTCATATTTTTCATATTTTATTTTTTATGCACTGATTGCTTTCTTCTTTTCTGCGTGAACAATTTTGTCGTGTTCTGCTTGAATTGTAACACTGCTTCTGATTGGTTGCTCCTCAGCTTGCGACCCGCGCCGGGTCAAGGCCACGGGTCGCGGCCTCCAAAACAAGGGCGTGCGCGTGGGTGAGATTGCCGACTTCAAACTGTGGACGGAGGGCGCCGGAGAGGGCGTGCCCAAAGTGCGCATCATCGGCCCAGGTCAGTCCGGAGCTGCTCGTCTTTGTAGAAAGGGGAGATCATGAGAAAGCCTGGATGACCTTGAATGACCTAAGATGAGCGTGAGAATTGTAACGGGGAAGAGAAGTATGGCATTTATGTGGTAACCGCACTTAGATGTTGTGATTATGATAATCAAATACCCTCGAGATGAGCGGATTTGCATGGCAAAATGATAAACCGCAGTAGTCCGTAATTATTGTAATTGTGCTGTGAACTCGACCGTGAGAAAAAAATCGTGCTGTAGTGCATTCACGACAGCTCTTCAGGTCGTAGTTGTTGATTGTGCTTTCTTGGTACCTGTTTGCATAAAATGGCCGGCGATGCTACTTTCAACGAATCCGACAACCATATAAAATATTCAAGGGACCAACTCTGCTGCAGCAGCTGCTGTGTTTGTTATTGTTATTTCTGCTTCTCCTTTTCATCAACCCTGCTCATTCAAATCATGCTTTCCAACCTCCCAGGTGCAACCTCTCGCCCTGATATTCCACCTGGCTTTCCAGACTTCCCTCCCACCTTTTATATTATCTGACCTAACCTGTGACCTCTCACCCGACCTCACCTGTGACCTCTGACTTCAGGCGGTGCCGACGAGCCGGCTGAGCTGCGGAAAGTCAGCGACTTTGTCTACGAGGGCGCCTACTACCCCAAGCGCGAGGGCCGCTACATCGTCATGATCACTTACAGCGGACACGAGATCCCTCGCTCACCGTTCGAGGTTAACGTCGGACCGAAGGGGGTGAGTGGACTCAGGGATGTTTTCTTGGACGTTGACGGTTTTATGCCGTCTGTTCTAATGCTTAGTTCGTTGGTCAGGCCCAACAAATAATTTTCATAATGCTTCCGTTTTATGGCTCTGTTTTTTATGTCTCTTGAAGGAACATTTCCAGGATTGTATTTTTCTTCCAGAATGGCATTCTTGCTAGCCTACAGCCGCCTGGAACTAGATTAGCTTCCTTGTTGTCGATATCAATGGCAGATAGCGTGTTGGTCATTGCCTGTCTGATCGTCATATTGCGTGTACATTATCACGTGAGAACAATGCGTCTGGTTTATAGATGGTCGCGACTGCCATGGAGCTGCGTTATATATGGGGCGTTCTTATTAACGCTTCTGTATTTGGAACAATAGGTAGGGCTGGAATTGCCACTAGCCGTAAAGTAATATGTAATTATAACATATAAATTATCTCGTATCTTCACTGACTCTGCCATTATTACGTCTGTCACATGTAAGCTCAACACAATTATGCTTTTAATGCTCACTCTAAATAGAAGTTATTCACTGCTCAGGCTCACTCATTCCGTTTTCTTCCCATATTTTTCTCATCTAACCCGACCCCCCCCCCCCCGTTTCAGGAGTCGCGTATCCGCTGCTACGGCCCCGGACTGAAGGGCGGCGTGGTCGGATCACCGGCCGCCTTCACCGTCGAAACCAACGGCGAGACGGGCGCGCTGGGTTTCAGCGTCGAGGGCCCCTCCCAGGCGCAGATCCAGTGTCATGATAACGGTGACGGCTCGGCAGATGTGACCTACCTTCCGACGGCGCCCGGAGAGTATGCCGTGCATGTGCTCTGTGAGGGAGAGGATATTCCCCAGTCGCCATGGATGGCGCAGGTTATCCCCAAGACCGACTATGATGCCAGCAAGGTGAGCGATTTGACGGGAGATTGATTGCAAACGTAAGGGTCACGGACTGAGAGACTTATTAAATAGAAGTTTTTTTTTTAAATAGAAGGTTTTTAGTTTTGCATTTGTGCTGTGACTGCTAGCAGAGGTCAATATCGTAAAGGAAGTGTTCGTTTTTTGGGACTTCTTGAAATATTAACTTTTCCTCTGTCTATTGTTGTTAAAAGTAACCCAATTTAGACTAAAAACAATATGTATTAATCAGTGATCAGTTTTACAAGTTGAAGCACGCTATGGAGGCGGAAGGTTCTTAGATACGTGACTAGACTAGGGGCTTGTCGAACGACATGGCAATGCGAAGCGCCATCTCCTTTGTTCAACTTATCTCTGCTCAGTGCTCAGCTCCCACAGCTCCTTCACTATGTTTTCGTTCTCGCCGTTGTCGGCAGGTGCGAGTGTTCGGTCCGGGAGTACAGAAGGACGGCGTGAGCGTCAACAAGCCCACCCACTTCACCGTGGACACGACGGCGGCCGGCAGCGCGCCGCTCGATATCTCGGTGAGTTGAAGACCGGGGCACCTGCTGCATTTATCGCTCTAAATATGGGTGTACATGTGAAGGACATAAGGTGTGTGTTCACTGTTCTGAACACACTTCGTCGTAATGATAAATGATCTGAACACACGTTTCTACTATCTATGCTTTTCTGAACTCACTCCTTGTTACAGCTTCTGGACGAGGATCTCCGCGAAGTGCCGATGAAGATCACTGAGAAGTCCCCGGGTGTGTTCCACGTCGAGTACACAATCTCCACCAGCGGAAAACACACCGTCATGGTGCGTATTCCGTCCGCTGTAGTGTTTCCGTGCGGAGGAAGTGGGATTGATCCGTTTGAACGAATTTTGTTATTGGTTGTATTGTGTATGTAAAGATGTGTACATTTGACTCGCGTCTGTGATAGTGGTGAGAGTTATTCATAAGTAGGTTGAAGATGTGCAGGGTTAGAATCGTATTTACCACTTCTGTGTGATAAAATAAGGTACCTACCCAATCTACTGAACTTAGACTCGGTTATTCTACTATCCCTTTATGTCTACCATCCCGGCTAACCGGAACTGTGGCCGCCTCACGTCTTCCACTTCACACCCCTACCAAACCATGACATCCCCTCCCATCTCTCAGGTGAACTTTGGCGGCGTGGCGGTGCCTAACTCTCCGTTCCGAGTGGACGTGACGGCTCCAGTGGACGCCTCCAAGGTTCAGGTGTTCGGCCCGGGTCTGGAGCCGGGTGTGCGGGCTCAGGTGCCCACCCACTTCAACGTGGACGCGAGAGGCGCTGGACCTGGTGGGTAACTAACAGGCTTGCTGGACGTTCCTTAAAGTCTTCGCATTTGAATATATCGGTGGTTGCCTTGTGTTGCGTTGAAGTGGATGTCGGTCGCGTCGAGTCCTTCGATTCTGGGGGTAGGGTCTCGTTGAGAAAACCATGCGTGGTCTGCATTTTTAAGATCGTTATTGTGGTTCATCAGCTTTTATGGTACTCACTGGCATGCATTCTTTTTTTTTTTTTGCATTTTCGTAAACAGTACGCTAATGCTCGAACAAACAACATCACTAGCTGAATTTCATTACGGATTATCATCGTCTCTGCCTATTGAGTATCATCATGGCATCACACATCAGACACAAAGCTACAATTCCGGCTGACCCTGCCCCTCCCACCCCCAGCCGAGCTGCGCATCGGCCTCAAGGACAACAAGACCGGCAAAGAGGTGCCCGTACAGCTGACTGACAACGGTGACGGCACCATGACTGCCGACTACGTGTACCCCCGACCCGGCCCGTACACCCTGAATGTGACGTACGGAGGCCGCGCGATCCCCCAGAGCCCCGTCAACATCGAGGCCAAACCCAGCGTGGATACGTCCAAGATTAGGGTGGATGGTGTTGAGCCGAGTGAGTGAGGGGGGAAAGGGGAGGTGATGCATGAATGTCGGTGATTTTTGTGTGTTGGGGGTGAATGCTAGGCAAGAACTTTCATCATTTGTTGTGATTTCGGTTGTTTTATTTGTCTGAGACATCTAAATTGCAATCACAGGTAAATGTTGTGGCGGCTCGTCATATTGTTATTGATCAATGATCTTAGTTTTCGTTCATCTGTCATTTTGAATAATATCAACAAGAGGCTGCGACCAGTGTTTCCAGTCGTTTGTCTCATCTCAAAGCAACGTCATTTATGCCTCCCATTAGCCGGCCAGCTGACCACTCTTCTCCTTCTCCTTTCTCTCCACAGCGGCGTTCCTGAACTCTCCCACCGACATGGTGGTGGACGCGCGCGCCGTGCCCGGCTCCAAGGACGGAAAGGTGACCTGTCCCGTGACCGGCCCGTCGGGCGCGCCGTGCCCCTCGCACGTGGAGCCGGTCGGAGACGGTACCTTCAAGGCCACGTATACACCCACCGAGCCGGGTGAGAGAAACGGGAGGTTAGAGCGGTGGGTGGGAGGAAAGAACACTTTGGCAAGGAGAGGAGAGCCAGGGAGACGCTATACGGGAATGAGTTGCTGTAAAGAGCTGTCAGCGTGCATCCTCTTGATGGGAGCAACGCACGCATTAGCTCGTAGAGGACTGTTTTGTGGGATGCTGCTCAGGTGTCCACCGTCCGACTCAGGAGACCTATCACGCTGTTTTTCATTGTTTAGTGACTGACGGTATAAACTTAAAGTGCCAAAGCTATGGTTAGTAATGACCGTTTTCCTTCTCCTCAGGTCCCCACAAGATCGACCTAGCGTATGACGGCGCTCCGGTGCCCGGCGCGCCGTTCACCGTCAATGCCAAGCCCGGCTGTGACCCGAGGAAGGTCACTGCCGACGGACCGGGCCTCAAAAGGGGCATCGTCAACAAGTCCAACACGTTCAAAATCAACACCCGAGGTCAGTTGGTTGAGGGAGGAGTGATTTCGTCCTAGTGGTATGTGCAATGGATTCGGAGTGAAGTTGTGAAGCGTTGCATCCTGGTAATGGGGTCTGAAATGTGCTCGTGTTGACGCTGCCATGCTAGTATTATTTTCAGACAGTGGTGTTGAGAATATATTTACAGTTCTGGTTCAGCTTAATTAGGTGACGGAATTTCTGTTCATGCAATTATGACTTAACGCCCCATCTATTACTTATTAGAGGTGAATGGGTTTCCATCCAACGCTTTCCTTCCGCTACTTGACGTGTGCCTTCCGCTCACCCTCCTGTAAAATCTCTCCTCCCAGGAGCTGGCACCGGCGGTCTGGGTCTGGCCATCGAGGGCCCCTCCGAGGCCAAGATGTCCTGTGTGGACAACAAGGACGGCTCATGCACGGTCGAGTACGTGCCCACCGAGCCCGGAGAGTACGACGTCAATGTGCGCTACGCCGACCAGCACATCCCCGGATCCCCGTTCAAGGTATGGGACTCGAGGAAAAGGTGGAGGGGGGTAGGAGAGTCTAGGGTAGGTCAGGCGAGGCGAGGTAGATTGTGGTGATTGCTAAGTGGAGCTAGGTGTTTTACTTTTGACCTACGCAATTTACTTCGCACGACACTTTTTTAGTAGATTTTGTCTTTTTCATCGTTATTTTGAATCACATTCGGATTGATCGAATGTTTACTTTCCAGCGTCTTTTTTATCTTAAATCCATTCAAGCAGCAGCCAATGAATCGCAGAAAGGTGTAGGAGGCTCTTGAACTTCACCATTATCAGCACCACCTGTGACCTGGCCCCTCATTTACCGCTCCACCTCTCCACTTCCACCTCCCACAGGTTCCTGTGGACTGTGAGATAGACGTTACCACCCCATCCTCTTCCTCCACAGGTTCCTGTGGACTGTGAGATAGACGTTACCACCCCATCCCCTTCCTCCACAGGTTCCGGTGGACTGTGAGGTGGACGCCGATAACGTTGTCGCCTACGGGCCGGGCGTAGAGCCGGAACACTGCCGCGCCAACGTGCCCCTTACCTTCACTGTGGATGCCACACGGTCTGCGCCGGCACCGCTAGCCGTGGAGGTCAAGAGCGACAAGGGTGAGAGAGCTGGGTGTGCCGGGCGTCTGAGTCGAGGGGTTCTGAGTTTATAATGACCCGGGATCGGTGATTTTGGTTGATGCTTTTTATATTTCATTCAGATTTTACGAAAATCGCGATGTGTCTTGTGCGTTTGCCGATGTCGATGAGCATTGCTAATTTCGGTTGGCGACTTCGGAACATACGATTTATGACAGTTTGTGGTGTCTCCTTAACTTTATCATTCGATTGAAAGTCAAACTAGCCGATTGACGACCCATTTAGCTAGTCCAACGGAGTTACGTCTTCACATACAGCCAGCCAAACCCTGCTAGCGCAGCTGTCCTACTCACTAGACGCCACCTGGCGTCACCACTAGCGCCTCCTAATACCTTTCTCTCCGTCCGTCAGGTCCTCTGCCACGGAAGCCGGTGGTGAAGGATAACGGCGACGGCACGTACGACGTGACGTACCACCCGCCGCCCGAGGGCAGCATCTGCATGCCGAGGGTGACGCTCGCTGGACGCGACATCAAGGACAGGTCGGTGGGCAATATGTGTGTTGGTAGAGGGCAGTACGGTATCAGGTGGGATATTTGCAGTGCGGCTTTCACTGTGGGCTAGTAATGACTAATGAGTTTCAATGATATCGGTATGTAATTAAGTTTTGGCCTACTCTAGGCAGCATATTTTATTTTACCAGGCTGTGGATGCTGAGCACACATTCTACCAGACAACTCACAACTGGGTGGCTAGTACAGGTGCAATGTTATGCGAGGTAGTTACGACGTTTTGATTTGACCGGAAAGGCGGCTGCTCGTTTTGACTCCGCACTGGTTGATCCAAACGTCGAATTCGGTTATGATACGATCTTAGTTCATACACAAACACACGTAGCTTCGAAGTGAACTCGGTAACCTTTTCTGATCTGAATTGCATCGGCCTAGCCTGACCTGCCCGGACTTCCTTCCTACAGCCCGTGGCGTATGCCTGTGAAGCCGACCTGCGAGCCGAACAAGGTGCGCCTGACCGGCCCGGGAGTCTCCAGCAAGGGCGTGCCGGCCTCCCTACCCACCGAGTTTACCGTGGACGCCCGCGACGCCGGCTTCGGCGACCTCGAGGCGCAGATCCTGGTGAGAGAGGCGGAAGTGGAACAGGTGGTATGTGGGGACAGGTCTGGGAGGCGTTGTGTTCTTGGAGAGGACTGGCGGATAGCAGAACCGCTTACAAGGGCTTATACGTAAATGTGGCTTGATGATTTGGCGATTGATTTTTGAGTTGTATCACCTAGTAGTAAAGTTATCTTGATATCACCTGTAAGTGCTCGTGAAAAATTCAAAATATTCATTAGATACATTCATTGGCGGTTAATTATTTTAATAACCGCATTTTGTCATCTTTTTTATTTTGTCACCATATATTTTATTGAACCATCGCTTTCTTACCACTGCATGCGTACACCGACATTTAGGCTAAGATTGAGTAATTTTAACGATTTTTGTATTGGTGACTTCATCTTCGCGCTTGATCATTCTCGCACTCATGACACACCGTGCCTCTCCTCTCTCTCCCAGGGTCCGGACAACTACCCGCGTAAGGTGGAGATGGTAGATAACGGTGACGGCACGTACACGGGCCGGTACACCCCGGACGACTGCGGCCAGTACAAGGTGCACGTCAAGTACGGCGGCAAGGAGGTAGCCGGGTCGCCCGTGCCCGTCCAGGCCTTCGCCACCGGACATGTGAGTTACCTATATGTTGAAGAGTAGGGTGCGGTGGGTTTGGGTACCTAAGGTGTCATACGCCTTAGGTGAATTACGAGTAACGAATGATGATAATTCCGTTTTTTAAGGCTATAGGGTGGAGTTCTTAGTGCCGTCACCTGTAAGAAAACACTTTGGTGCTTGAACTAAAGAGTTTTTATAACTGCATATAGATATAAGGTGTAATTCGCTTTTGTAATTGACGCCGTGGTTTAGGAATTGCATTATACGCGCATCACTAGTTAACCATACTGGTCTCTGTATCAAGAAGTAGTTATATAGAGATTCTAAACGAGACCAGCAGCTGTAAACATGACCATTTCCTCCAGCATCGTATATCTCTGTCGCCTCCTGCTGACCGTTTTCGCTCCTCCACTCCAGGCCGACAAGTGCAAGATCGAGGATAGTGACTACCGCGATCAGGTGCTCAGCGTTGGCGAGGAGTACTGTATTAGCGTGGACGCCAAACAGGCCGGAAACGGAAACGTCACCTGCCGTATCCGCTCCACCTCTGGCTCCGGGTGAGTTCCGGGGAGGGGACTGGGTAGGGGAAGGGTGTTTGAGAAAGGGCTGAGTGTTTAAAATCATAAAATTTAGCGATCTATCTTAGTTATCCTGTTTTGATGAACTCTTGTAATGAAACGCCAACTTGATTTAGTTATCATGCAAGCTCTGCCGTTGTGGATGAAGTTTGTATTGTGCTATGCGACTGTTTGCTCTCAAGACGCCTGTTGTTTTCAACAACAGCGTTCCTTTATTACGTCATCAGTTATGACTAAGCTACGTTTGAACCGTTACAGTGTTTTTGTCAACGGCCTTTGTCTTTTTTCTCTGAACGCTTGAAGCTTGTGAAGCTTAAAAGGGATAAGCTATGGTACGATTGTCTAGACACACGTTCAATAGATTTTGACGCTGTTTTGTTTTCCAGTGACGTGGACATCGACGTGACCGACAACGGCGACGGCACGTTCAATATCTACTACAAGGTGAAGGACGCCGGAGAGTACTCGCTCAACATCAAGTTCGGCGGCCAGCCGGTACCCGACGGCCTCTACTCGTTCTCGGTGAGTCTACCGCTCTACCGGTCTCCACCAGACTGCGAACATTGATGTTCGTCTGTTGGATAGCAAAGTTTTTGGGATGGAATTTCTCTAGCGGCAAAGCTCTGTAGATGGAATTTTTCTAGCATGGCTATGTGTCAACGATTGCAGGTAGGTAGCGCTTGGACGGAAGTTGGTGGAACAACGGCAAGAGCGAAAAAATGTAGCTTTCCTGGGACTTCTTTGTTTCTAATTTCTACTTATAGCTGACCGGTACAAATGTTCCTCCGATAACCCGCCACACCCCCGACCCGACCATTGGTTAAGTTCACTGAGCCGGCCAAGGAACGGCAATCACTCACCTGACGCATGGCTTTAACCGAGAATATACCCCGTGTGATCGCTTGGCAAAGTTCCGGACGTTAAAAAAACGCACTGCCACGTCTGGCATCCGGAGGCTGCTTTTCCTGGCCATTGTCTCACGCAATCTCGGCGCTTCGCCAGACTGAGGGTGGCAGGATGAAGTAGTTTTTGTCCATCAATTCTCGTTCCGGGTTCCTCACTAGGCGTGATATTTATTGGGTGACACATTTCGATGGATAAGAGTGGATGGACTGAGGCAATAAATTTCCATAGAATGACTTTTTCACGCTTGGAATGAAGTGATTGGGCTTCTACGGCCCATGAGCTTCTCTGGCTTCGAGACATTCGATAAGCACTATGTACTTCATGGAAATTCACGATTTTAGTGCTGTATGCTGTGGAGGGATCTCCCCCTTTGGACCTCCCGAGTCCCGAATTTCGCAGCGGGCCGCCTGCCAGCTGTAGTGGCGGGCGGACCGCCGCGCCCCCGCTGCCAGTGGCGCTCGCTCAACTTTGTTGTCTCGTTAAAATGCCACGAGTAAGGCGTCATACTGACATGGTCTGGCGCCGCGTTAAACGATTGTGCTCACACGGTATTTATAGAGTGCGGAGGGACGAGGGAGGGGGCCGTGGAACGCACACTGAGGCGAAGGAGCTCAGTGTTTTTGTTTTGCACATTTGGTGTGAAAACGAAAGGGATATAGTGGCATCATTTCAGCTGAGGCTAAACACTAAACAGCCATTAGTAGCTTCAATAGTAGACTGCCTTCGGTCTCCACTTTGCGGGTGGTTTTTAGTAAGACTCAGTAAAATTTATAAATCGGCATGGCTCCCTGCTCACAAAATTAGTGTGACCTCGCTTATCCCCTCTGTCCACGTTGTTCCTTTACCAGTCTCCCATCCTCTTTCTCCACTGAGTGGCGTCTGCCTGCCGCTCTGCCTTCTCTCAGTCACCGTTTGTTGTTCGGTGACTGAGCGGCCCTGGCAGAGTAGCCGGAATTCGACCACACATAGTGGCACTAACGACGCGCTGACTGATGTCGACTTATATAATGCTGCCCTCTTAGCGTCGAAGCTGGGTGGTCTTGAGGTGGTGTTCTTGTGTGCTATGGCAATAATTCGCAAATGGTTCACAAAAGCCCCATAACATTTGACAGAGTCGTTGTTTATAGTTGTTCGGGAACCAAAGCAGGAAGCGGAGGATGCTTCGCTCTCGATGAACAAGGAATTAGATAAAATTGACATTCATATGCATTTGAGGGTCTGTCTCTGTTCTGGATTATTTACGCGGTCTCGGCGTCGCACCACCTCGCTCCAGGCACGACCCGGTGACAAAGTGTCCGCTGTGCGCCGCTCGCCTGCCATCCCCTGTCCTCGGTCCTCTATTGGTCCGCTCCCCTGTCGTGTTGTGGTTGGCCGTTCCGTCTCCCCGCCCTGCCACCGTACCGGCTGTCTCTCGTCAGGGACTGCTCCAGGGATGCCACCGGTCGTGGACGACCTTTGTCGTGTCCCGCTGGCTCGTACTGTTGTAGTGTGGTTGCTGACTGACTTCCTGGGCGGTGGGATTCAAGGAGACTCGAATTGTGAGGCCCGGGGATGGTTTGCTCGTCATATATCTCTTGCCATTTTCACACCGCAAATGAATCAGCGGAGATGACTGTGATGCAGTCGCGTTTCAACGGACGGGTGCGTCTGATCGGTCGCCAACCTGTTGACGCTGACTTGAGCCAGCCAGGTGGTGGCGCTCCCGAGCTGTGACTGATTTTCAAAGCCTGGTCGGTTGTGAAGCATTTGTAACCAACAGGACCGTCGCCGCACTGCTATCGTTGCTGCCGCTAGCCTTTGCGGTAATTCTTCAAAGATCACCAACCATGGAGAGACAGTGCCTGCTGGGATATACCCCGATACCCGCTGCCCAAAGCTGCGCCGTTCCATGCGGTGATAAATGCGGCACATCGCCTGTGACAAATGTGACGCTGCACCTGTGACAAATGCGACGCTGCGCCCGTGACAAATACAGCGCGTCTGTCTGACACCTTGATGACAGTTAGCTAATTGACCATCACGGCCGTCTTCAATCTACCCGAAATGTCACGCGGGTCATGAAAACATCTGTCAACCACGAAGTCTTCGTCGGAATGCACGCAAATACCGAGTTAATGTCAATTTTTTGCAGGAGTTTGTTAGTCTTGCAATATTTTATCTTTGATATGTCAGCATGTTAACTGAACGGTTTCCATAAATCCGTTTGTTCGCATGTAGTTAGAGAGAGTATATTACATATTTTTATCGTGCCTCATAAATCACTATTCTACAGTCACGCACGATCTCCTTACACCCACAATACCACTCTCAACCGCTCAGCTGTGATTTCATCATCCTCTCGCGGCTCCACCGGCGCTTCTTACGCCCGCGGAGGATGTGTGACTCGCCCGTTTGGCCTGCGTCCCGGCCGGTGGCCAGTGGCGCGTGTGATCACTGCTGTCAGCCGGCCTCTTTCCTATGGCATGTGGCAAAGGATGTGTCACGTCGGGATGAAGTGTTGATGCTCACGCAGTGCTGATGAAATGGTTGGGCTTGACGCCCCTGCTTGGCTCGGATAGATGCTCCCCGCGATGTTTGTTTGAAGGGGCCATACCTTCATGAGAAGTATGGTAGAGGTGGGTGGTTGTGGTACGGAGCATAAATGATTGGTTGTAGTGAAGCGATTTAGCGAATGATGGATCACGGCGACCTTCGATGGAAGTTTGAATAAGTCCATACCTACAACGAAGTTCTGGCCGCTTATTATTGTTTTGAACCAGAGACTCGTTGACGGCTCATTAAAAAGGTATAAATTTGATATAAAAAGTACCCTTCGCTCGTTTTCCCGCAGAGAAGGTATGTGAAGGCATCCGTCTTCTTTCGTAAGTGCCTCAAACACCCGGTAGATGGCAGTATGCGTTAGCGCCTGGATCATGCTGTGCCGCAGCGCACGGGATGGTAGACTGTGCCGCAATACACGAACCACGGCAGCTGAGCACGGCGCGCGCGGGCAATACGGATGCATGGGAGCTGTGTGGCTCTTCTGAAGCTTTCATAATGCTGAGAAACATAAACGTTTTGCTATTGTTTGGCAAGGTACAACTTACGAAATTAAACAAAAGAAGATATTTGATTTGTGGCTTTCATTTGCACTATGTGCCACGGGTGAAAATTACCTAAAAATTTGTTTTTGCTTTTTTAACGAGCATAAGATTATTGCAACTATTTAAGATACCTGTTAACCCAAACTCCAGGCTTGAACACGCTATTTTGTGGTACGTATTGTCTGTTGACTGTTGGCACCGTGGCTTCCATCCTGACCGAGAAGTGCCCTCGGTACATCGAACTTTCGAGAAGTGCCAGTGAACTTTTGGACGGTACCCAACGCGCTGCCACGACTGCGGACGTGTGGGGTCCCCTTGTGGGGAGGGGTGACGACGAAGGCTTGGTCGTCTCGCGGTCAAGAGGACATTGTCTGCCGTCCAAATTTGGCGCGATGGGCGGGGCTAGTGTCTCATCGACCAACCGGGACCGCACGCGCGCACTGAGTCGGCGCCAAAATTTCGACGCCCGGTCGCTCTGTGCGCCCCCGGCAGAGTGTGGGGCCGCCCTGTAGCGTCCTCATCTCTGAGTCTCGGCTCCTGAGGAGCGCCGGATAGCGGAGCTCACAACAGGTGAGGGATTACTGACCTGACGAAACTCTGAATGTTTTTTTTTGCAATTTGAATTAGTTTACTTACGTCTAGGTTTCAAGAAGGGACTTCTAGGGACAAGAAGGGACGGAGATACTTTCTTGGTCGATTTACTAATAGCGAATATTCTTTAAGTCATCCGTTGTTTGCGCTTTTCCGTTTCTGTGTCTGCCGAAAAGCTTTCTAGAGCTCCACCGCAACTCCGAGGCAAATGGAGACCCAATGCAGGTAAACGCAAAAATATCGGGGGTCAAAACAGATTAACACTATAACGTAAACGAAGAATTGGACTTGTAGATGATTGGAACGATAATGGTAATGGAAATATCTCATGAAAATAGAAGTGGCATCCAGGGGTGTCGTTTTCCGAAAATGATTGGTAGTGCCCAAAGGCGGCGGCTGGCCATATATGACGGGGCTTACAAGGTAGGGTACCCCAAATCTGCCTTTCTCATCGGATTTCGGCCACTTATTTTTCGCCCTGGTCATTGACAAGACTAACCGAAATCTAAAAAAAACACAAAAAAAAAAACTTTGGAAATCTGGGTCCACACCGGACGCCATGCACAAAACGTGCAGTTATATAGGCAATAGTGTCGGCGGAATGCACGCCATTCTGAAAGAGGCCCACATCGACTTAAAAGGACGGCTGTGCTGAAAGGGGACAGGAACAGCTTTGAAGGCCCAAGCCGACTAAAAAAGACGGCTGCGGGGCCAGGAACGGTTTTGAAGACCCACGCCAATTGAAGGGTTCGACAACTAACGAGGACTGGAAACACAACGATAGTTAGAAAGACCTGCTTGCCAAAATAAAAGGATGACAGTACGAGGGGCGTTCAGAAAGCTACGGGCCCGACCATGAAGGAGCAGAGAGATACAGCATCGACTCATTAGACCAAAAAGTTCATTTATTCAAATAAACACCGTTAAGACAAACACATTTCG